TATATATATATATACACACACACACACACACACACACACACACACACACACACACACACACACACACACACACACACACACACAGAGAGAGAGAGAGAGAGCGAGTCTAATGAAAGTCTGCTGGCTTAATGCTAACCTAATTTAAAACGCCATCAACGGGCTAGTGAAAATTACCATTTGAATGCTAAAATGCGATGAAGTAGGGGGTTAACTGTAGCCCTCAACTTGATAACGGAAACCCCTGTCAGCAAGATGCAGTGAAGTTCTATTACGTTTCTGACAAGCACGTTGACAAATAGAATCCATTTATCATTCTCTGACACCGTCGATCACAAATGAGCATCATTAGCTTTGAAAGGGCAGTTATTTTCTCATGTCATTAGACTGCTCAGCCGTTGGCCACATTGTGGCCAGTGACTGTATGTTAATACCTCTGGAGGTCAATCAAAAATGATAAATACATAATGAGAAATCGCGCCATGGCGTATCAGTTGACTTGTTATGGAGCTGGCGGCCTCATTAGCAGCAGCTAGGCTTTTCACTTCAGTAAACTGTTGATTTGCATTCGGTCCCTCACACATCACGCCTGCACAACACGTTTGTGGGGGTGGTTATGTAAAGAGAGGGTGCTCATAGGTGTTGCATGAGGTTGTCTCCCCAGTGTGCAGCTGCTCCGCTCCGCCTCCCGCTGCTCCGAGGAGCAGTGCGCGGCGACTGCTGTGCATTATTGCTGTCCTCGCATGGAGATCTCTATGACAACCTTCCCAGAATAAGAGTGCGAGCGGCGACAGAGGGAGAGTAACGAGAGCAACAGGGGGAAAAGAAACGATTGAGGGTAAAAAAAAATAAAATAAAAATAAAAATGACAGAGTCACAAGGAAGCAAGAGATGCTCAGTACCTGGTCCAGTGGGCCTCAAAGACGGCCGAGTAGTAGACAATAAAGGGCAGCAGGACTGAAAACACCCACAGCAGGAGGGTTGGGAAGAACTGAGTGATGATAGGATTCTGGTGGGCAGAGAGAGAAGGAACACATACGTTTGGACAAGCAGCAGCTTTCATCCCACTTGGCCTCCGAATCTGACCTGCAGACTCTCCACAGGCCTGGTGACATTGAACTTGTCCATGGTGTTGACGATAATGGCGGGAGTGGTGAGGAAGAAGAGCAGCAGAAAGAGGAGGATGTTGAGGAGGACGCAGCGAAGCCACCAGCGAGAGCCAGAAACTGACAAGTTTTCCCTGAGTGGGGAGGTGGATGGGAAATGAACTCAACATGTCTGTAGATGCCACAAGATTGCGCCAAGACACTTTAAAAAAAATTTTTTTTTTAGATTTGACAAGGTCTTAACTAATGAAGCTCCTCCCCCTCACTTCATCATACTTCCTTGGCACCATGACACCACAAGATGGCACCAAAGCAATACTTTTAAATTATACATACCTGAGCATAAAACAGCAATTAGATGAGTTTCTCAGCAAATAACAGAGGATAGGTTCCCAAAAATGACCAAACCACAAATATGCGGGGGTTCACCGTACACTCAGTGCAAACACTGACTGACCAGATGATGTCACTGGGAGCGGGTGCGTAGCTGATGCCCCACTGGTGAGACTGTACCACTGTGGTGATGCTGGACTGCTGGGGTCGTCTGCGGCAGCGCACACGACCGTAATCCTTCACAATTCTACAAAACACAACATCAAATGCTGCAATCGTTCTGTTCACTATCAGGCCAAAGGGGATCTGTTTTGATGGCTTCCGATACACTCACACAGCCGTCATCCTCTCATCCCGAAATGTCACAAAAGCGATGCCCAGCCGCTTCATATAGATGCGGTTCTTCTCAGCATTGAACTCATCAGTCCATTTTTCTTCTAACTCGCTGTAGTATTGTTCTGCATCCACCTGCAATGAAAGTTAAACACTCGCTGCATCAAGACAATCAGAGACACAGATGTACACTACAGTACATTGAGACTGCAGCTCCACCTAGTGGAATTCTTATATCAGTGCAGCAAAAGTCACCATCAACTCGAAGTCATGTTCCACTTGCATACCTTTTCAAAGCCACAAATGTCACAGCAGAATATTTGAGCGCACGGGTGGGTCTTCATCATGATCTTTCCCTCCTTTTGAGATTTTGTGGCAAAGTACAGTCTGCCTTTCATCGCCTTGCGCCTGTAGAAACCAAATCTCTTAAGACACATCGTAGGAATTTGGGTTGCAAATGATGACTTTAAAACTGTTACTTTACCTTTCTAAGTCCAGCCTCATTAGCTTGTTGATGTCGAAGCAGAAGCGTATGTCGGTGACGGTGCAACTTGGGTAAGCCTCACTGGAGGAACACAAAGGAGAAAATATTTTTTTAAAAATCATCCATCAGTAGGAACACAAATCTTATGCAGGGAAATCAAACTTTTCAAGTGAGATAAAGAAGGAAAACATGTTTACTGTAAGTGTTTGGTAATCAGTCCTGGGTCTGAAATGTCTCTGGGTATGGATGTGATCATCAGTGTTCTTGCAACCTGGAACACGATGCAAACAACATCAGACTAAGTCATACTTACATACATGAGGAAAATAATGTATCATGCTGGACCAGTGACCAATGCCACCATGGTTTCACAGTATCAGCCTGACAAAGCATTTTTTTAAATTTGATTGTTTTACATCTATGGCCTAAAAGTGTCTATTCTAGTGTTTGTTCCAGGAAATGTTATCCATTTATTCCCAAACAGTCAATTCTCCTCATTTTGTTGCATTGACCAACTGACCTTCTCATCTTCTCTGTACTGCAGCCGTATGGAATGGTGAGCCATACATAGGAACGTGATGAGGAAGTAGACTAACGCAAATATGGCGTGCAGCCACAGGAAGTTGTCCCTGTTGGGCCAAAAGAAACACTGTTACAGTCTGAACTATTTATTTCACGGTTTACATAACATGAGCTGTCAAGCACACCGCTTTAGACTTACTTTGCGCTAACATTAGCCAGTGTTGTTCTTCCAAAGTTCTCAGGACTGTCTCCTGTAAAAATAATGAAACATGGCAGAGAGAGAAACATTTTAATTGGACCTGAAGAAAACCTCCTCATTTGGGTGAGGCGACCTTTACTATTTTCAGATACTTTGTAAGCAATCTCATCATCTGAATGACATTTCTCACAACATTTAAATTCACTCACATTTAGGCCCAACTCTCTTAATTTGGTTGTTCTTTGTTTGCTGTTGCTAGGGGCAGTCCGTCAACGACCGACTTGTTTGTTTAATGACAAGGGTGGCACGTTGCTCTGTAAGATGACAGTCAGCGGCAATAAAGTGGTTCTGTGGACTGCTCGGCTCCGCTTTGACACCAAAATGGATCTTGCCTTCATCCCATTATAGAATGGCTTACTCAACACTTCCAAAAAAATAAACACACAACTGCCAAAAGGCGTTTTCACTGCTATTTAGCAACTTGCTTTGCCCCCCTACCATTTGACGCCTTCGCGTGTGTATTAACAGGAAACAAAGCTCCTTCTACATGCAATTCTATTTCTGAGGTCTGAATTGTGCACCACCCCCTCCCCCCACCCCATTTTCCCTCTATGCCAGTGAGTTGTGGGGTGTCACAGCCAGCAAGTCCTTTCTCTGCTTCCTTATACACAGCCCCTGAGCAACCTAAATTGTCAAAATGTTGTTGCATTAAAAATGCTATTAATTTATTCCCAACAGTCAATTTTCTTCATTTCGGAGCGTTTCTCTTTGCAGCACTGCTTTCTGTATGTGTGACTTATTTATTTTTTGTTTCCAATCAAATTTTGGCCTCTGTGTGTTGCCATGTCAATCTAATCTACCAAGGGCCTTCAGCTACAATTTGAACTATATTAGCACGGAGACGGTTTCTTCAACTAATCAGATTTCTAATTCGTCCTCACAGGGACAGCCGCGTCAGCGTCGCTTTCCATCCTCTGATTCGTTGGTTTGAGTGAAATTTATTATAGCTAACTTGGATAACAGAACACACCAGGAGAGATCTACATTCATCAATACATATGACATTTTTTTTTTTCATGTCCTTGTCATGTTATTGGATAAACATTGATTCTGAACTGCTCCAAGCGATGTATGTGGCATAGTTGCGTGAGGTTCTACAGTATTGCGCTTTTGTGCAGTTATGACAGTTTCTATGATTGCAAATTTAATGTGATGCTATTTTGGAGTGGACTGAGTTGGGCAAGTTGTCTCTCAAGGTCCAAACGTTTTCGTAATTCCATCATATGAGGGGCCAAAATACCCAAGAGATTCCCAGAAAAGTTGATTGGCAGGATCACAGCCAAAGACAGCAGGCACACCACAGTCATGAGCAGGATGATGTGGCGCTGGAAGGACAAATAAGTTACGGCGTCAATGCCACACTTGCTGCGGATCTCCTCGTCCCTACAGAAAGAAAGCGACAACTGTCTCAGAGGGCGGCCCTATCAAGAGGAAAATCCCAAATATATTAGACTTTCGAAATAGAAAGACAAATGTCAATCAGTATGTGTGCAGGTATTGTCTATTTTCACTCATCCAGAGTGAAGCTGCGGCACCACTGGTTTGGTGGTTACTTGACAGGAAGTTTGGGAAAACCGAGAATATAAAATAGAATTAAAAAAAAAAAGGGACGCTGGTCTCACAAGAGCCCACACACATGAAGAACTTACAGGGTGGCTTTACACTTTTCCCAGGGATCCCAGAGTTAGTCACTGGCACGAGAGCTAAAAGCAGGCAGCCAAACCCCACCATAATACTATGGAAAGCAATGAACACCATGGAAATTGTTTTTTTTTTTTTTTTTTACAACCCCGAATCTGTTATGTCAGTCAGAGTCAGAGCAAACACTCAGTGGGAAACCTCGGCACCAGTGGTTACATGAGGCCAGACTTGTTTGTTTTTGCTCATCAATGAGAGAGAACATGACTTTAGATTTGACGATGACATCAGCTTTTGAGAACAGAGAGCCATTACAAAAAAAAAAAGTCAACGTCAAGGTCAACTTACTTCATATGGTAAAGAGATGTGAGCCATGAACAGAACCCCTGGAATAACAGAAGCATTCAGAAGATTAGTTTTAACAATACTACATTAGTGAAGTGTCTCAATGACATTAATGTCTCCGTCAGGGCCTTAATAGTAGCAACTAAAAACATCACCACGAAGGTAAAACTTACAATGTCCTTGGTCTCAGAGTCAGAAGGGCTAGACTCAGAGGGAGACTTCTCCTTCTCACTTGGTTCTCCATAGAACAGGGATGTGAGACTAAAGTGTGAGGACAACAAATATGATTAGGGAAAAAAAAAACGTTTACTAAACTGACATGTCATTCGAGGGGATGTTGAAATAATTTCCCTACCCAAGTATTGTCTGTATTTTTGGGTTGACCACGACATTGCAAATTAAGCGACATCATTTAAATAAACTACAAATTGTTAAGTGTTGTAAGGGAATAGCAAAGAAAGTCAGGATGATTATGATTGTTAAAACAACACAGAAGAATATTTAGCAAATACAAATCTGCCCCCTGGAGGTTGCGAGCAGCTTGAGAGACGAGAGCTCAGAGCAACCTGATCCCATTGAATGAGTTAAAAAAAAACAAAAACCAAAAAAAAAAAAAAAAAAAAACAACTATAGTTTCCGCATGGCGCACTGTAGTGTATGGCTCAGGACAGTGCAGGGGTGATGGCAGCATGATGCCAGCTTGACCTTATTCGGCACTGGTGGCTAAGTGACCAAACAGGAAGTAACCCGGCGCCTTTCCCTGCTGGTTTGGATACAAAGTTATCCGCAGCTCAGCAAAAAGCGTTGCAGTGTCAGTGTTGCAGTAGAGAGCGAGGAGGAGATAAGCAGCAGTTCAAAGAAGGGTAAAAAGCAAGCCATTGTTGTTGCTTTCAAATGCTGTGGGTGTGTCCGCTGAATGACCACAGCCCGCACAACACTTATAACTGCCGATGAATCAAATGCCACATGCCCCCTATGAAAATGATGGTAGTTTACAAAATGTAAAATCACGTGACGAGGTTTACCTTCAAAATTGAAAAAGTTACTGTTAACTATCGTGGTTAAATAAGCACACAATCCAACATACACTCATTGCTGGGGACATAATGTGAAAGCCGACCGTTTGCACAACTACGTCACAGCTCAAGTTCTTCTAGTGTGTGACGGAAGCTTCCTGCTGTGAGTCACGAAACGCCGATATTGCCACGCCCCCTAAAATATAATGGGGAATAAAAATGGTGAAAAACTGTTTACCGCATCTCCATAATTAACGACTATATAGTCTTTGCACATGTTTGCAGCAATTATCTTCAAGTGTGTAAAATGTAAGAAAAAAAAATAATCAAGCTATAATCCCCAGAACTGTGATGAAGATGTACGAAGCACCATTGAGTGATTTGAATACATCATCACTTGTAAAATTGTTAGCTCGTGAATTCCCATGAATAATAACCTTTCCACCAAAGCTCAGATGATAAATCTAACATCTCACACATGCGGAGCATCCTATGCAGTACTCTATAGAGCCAGCAGGGAGCGCTAGTGGTTGCAGCATCATTGCCTTCATCGGAGAAGAACTCTATGCCTCCCTTCTTTAATTTTGCCAAGGCTCACCGCTCCTATCACACATTTCCACAAAGGCACGGATTCACCTGTCGTTGTCCATCAGCAGAGCCAGGCGGCCATAGTCCCAAGCAGCCTTCCTCAGACAGGAGAAGATGAGTAAAAGGAACTGTGAACCAAATCATACATGGAAAATGCATTACACAAAGACATATTTGCAACAACAACACAGAATGTAGTCATTAGCCTTGAGTCATCTCCCGGTAATTATGCTCAGTCATTATGAAAGTCGTTTAATGATGTTGCAGTCTCATTTGTCCCACAGGTAGATACGCTCTAAAAGGTGTTTGACCTTCTAAAAGTGTTGAAATGGGCACCATTAACTATTTCATGTTTTTAGACGAACCGTGTGTTCCCACCACAATAGAATTAATCCATCTGGGGGGGAAAAAAATGACACACAACATGATGTCTTGTTATGCATAAATCCATCCATCCATTTTCTGATATCATTGATTGCAAATCATGTATTTTGACCATGACAACCAACGTTACAAGACATCTTGCTCCATTTGAGTAGTGTACGGTTGTCGTGGAAACTGCCAGGCAGGTCAGCTTGCTCATACAAATACATGCCGCGCACTCAACAAATACGGTCAACAGCCAAATCTAAAAGGCTCATTTACGTTACTAAAGTGGAGCAAAATTGCCTCTCGTAAAATAGGACTCAATCCAATTGTGGATTGAAAATATACTGCAGTCAGCCACATTAAAGAGGATTAGCCTCAAATAGTTCCGGCTGAGTATCAAACAGAATGAGAAATGAAAAAGGACTAAAAACGCTGATGAAAGTTCAATTTCAATTACCGCATTAAATCATTTAGTCTTGTGAGTTGAGACGAGATTTAGGTCGGTGGGTGATGAATAGCATCCATGCTAATGGAAGCATGATTGAAGAGTGATTCATTCTTTACATGTGTAAGCAATCAGGGCAACCGTGACTGGGGAGTGACCATAAATCAGCATGTGAGCAAACTTCGAGATCATCTCCCCATGTTTATTTCTTCACATCCGTTGACGAGCTGTTATTTTATTTGTCTTTGTCTTGATGTGTGGGCACGCGCTCCTCCAATCCCTCAGATGATGTATTCCGTATGATGATGGAATTGATGCAGAGGCGTGCTCCTGCTACCTTCAAGGGGGGGGCGGGAAGCATGTTTTGACTCAAGCTTGTCATTAACAGACATTGCTCAAGCCTCTCTGTTGCCTTGACAACCCGCGGTGATGAAATGAGCCAATTAAAACAAGGAAGTGGCAGATTGAGAGTGGTATCAGAGCAGAATGGAGCCTGATAAGGCCTGACAGCAAAAAACAGTTCGCTGACAGCTGAGAACGGAAGCCTATTATTATCTGCCAAACTTGAGGAAAATAGCCTTGTTTGCACTTGTAAACAATTTTTATTCCAGGAAAAAAAAGGAGTTTAAGATGTCACTGTAATTGGCACTTTGAAATGTTTTTTTTTTGTTCCTGTGCACGCTAAGCTACATTGATAGAAGCCTAAAATACTCTGAAACAAACCTTTTCACAACAGCACTATTTGTCACAGCTGAGGGGCCCCGAGTATTGAAGGAGTAAAATGAGAGCTCAGATTTGATTTCAGAGGCTTTTTCTCTGAGTAAAATGAGCTCAGCAGGGGAATACAAAAGTGACTAGAGAGAGATATTTTTAGACACTCTGAATTCCACACCACACAAAATCAAAATGATCAATCTGACTTTCAGTACATAGTCTTTGTATGCTAACACTTCGTTGAGGTCAATGACTAGTTATAAAATACAGCCTTTTGGAAGTCTCAATGTACGTTGTGCAGATCAGCGACTGCGATGCTCACCATCCACAAGATCACATTGACGGCCAAGACTGTGGGTATGCCCCCAAAGGGGAGACCCTGGAGGACACTGCTGCGAGAGTGTGAGCGGTAGCATCTCTCTGCTGTGCTGTTTTCATCCCCGATTGAGTCCAGGAGACCCAGGTCATTCAGCACCAAGGACCTCCCTTCCACAGGGGGCGCTCTGGACATGAACAGTGCAGAGTCAGCCATCAGCACTGGACCATACCTGAACAAATAGAATGAACAATGACATTTAGAAGACAATGTTTTTAAGTAATCGTATAAAAAATAGTCGTGTATTTCCTAAAACGGTGACGAAATGCACTGTCTCTAAAGCACTGGCGTCAAACTCAAGGCCCGGGGGCCAGATCCGGCCCACCACATCATTTTATGTGGCTCGCAGAAGCAAATCATGTGTGTCAACTTTGATGATGCTTGCTAAAAGCTGTCCCAAAATGTCAAATTGTCATGTGTAATAAATAACATTGAGACTTTGCAATAATTTTGCTGTCCTATTTACACTCACTTGAACAATAATTGAACAAACAACACACAAATAGTTGGCTGATTTAAAAACTAGTAATCCATCAATTTGTTTTGTACAAGTAATAATACGATGAGATGATTAAACATTTATTCGGTTTCACTGTCGTGTTCCGAGGGAACACGTATCTCCAAAGTGGTCCACGACAAAAAATGAGTTTGACACCCCTGCTCTAAAGTTAGCATTTAGCAGCGCAATCAAAGCCATTGTGTTCCGCACCAGGTCAAGCATCAAGGTTCAGTCTAATGACCATTAGATTCCATTAGCAGCCATTGATCTTTTTCCTCAATCTGACAAATGCAATTGAGATGTCACGTAAAATCCACAGAAATCAATTTGATTAACCTTATAGTCGTTTAAAAAACGAAATCAGTCTGAAGTAAGGGACAACCCTGTTGTTGAGAGAATGAAGGGGTTGAACCGTGAAATAGCCTATTTACTCAACTGCATGTTTGAACAGCTGAGTCCTGCCTTTTTTGTGCACTTTCCTGTGCAGAGCATGCAAAGGATATGATCATTCACAGCACCATGACCACCGACATGAAGCAGAAATAATCCACAGGCAACACACAGAAATGGGAACACACAAGAAACAGATCAATGCAGTCAGAGTTGTTCAGTTTCTTGACACTTTCGATGAAAATACTGCAGAACCAACAATGCATTGCATCAATATGGAGTCCAGTCATCACATTTACGTGGAAATATGAGTCTTGACAATACATTCAGGAAGTGTTTATACAGTGACACACACAGGAATCCAATTTCCCCTTTGGACAATCACTGAATGTGAATTTAATAGTAACCCGATGAGTGAAGTCAACACAATGTCAAAAAACAGACAAAGAAACACCATTCCCAAACTGACTCAAAATGAACAAACGGCAAAGTTTGGAATTCATCGACAGCTGAAACAAAGTGAAAGGCATGAACAAGCCGTCATGGGCTCATAGGCTTTTCATCTTTCGACAAGTAGCCGTCGAAAGATGCAAACTCCACGTCCAGAAAAGAGCAGGATGCCGACTACGGTGTGGAATCGCGCATTTGGCCACAGAGTGACTCAGCATTTTTCACGCTGTGGAGATCACAGGCTTCAAAAGCTAAACAGTCCAACATGCTCGCTCTCACCCTGTCATATCCATTCCCTCGATATCCTTTTGAACTCAGAAGTTTGTCTAATCCTGTCCCTCCTGCGTTTCGCTAAAACTGGCTTCCGAAGCCGAGGCAGCAGATGTTATTCCTCACACAGGCGGTGTCAGGGAAGTCTGTGTTGTGCACATCCCAGGTGCTGAACTAAATCTGTATCTGACAACATAACAGTTGCAAAACAAAAAGCTGGAAAAGGCAACTGCTCTGTTAATTGGATTCCTGCCCAAAAATAGCAGTATGTGTGTATGTGCGTGTGTGCGTGTGCGTGTGCAACTGAGGATGCCATCTCCTAGGTGGCAGACAAAACGAATGAAAGTGCAACTCTGTGACACCTTGCTACGATGCTTTACTCTCCCTGCTTATATTTCCAGTAAAGCAGCGCTGGTGGCCACCGCGAACATTATCTCTGAGCACCGTGGCTTTCGAGTCATTAACAACCACTGAAAACACAAAGTGTCTCATACAAGCAACTCGGTATGTCAGCAAAAAGCTCATAATGACAACGCAAAAAGGTAATGGGTTATTGCGGTGGATTTATACGAAAAGGCCACACATTCTGCATGCTTTTCCAAATCAGAAAAGTATTATGCTAAGATTATATAGCTTATTCCCGCGAAAATTGTTTCGGGTTTTATTTGATCAATTTGATGTAACTCTTTGTGTAGTTAACATTGCATGTCTTTAAAAATAATTCTCAGCGAAGATTTTTTGTCGAAAGATTAAGTTAGGCATGTAAAGGAAAGAGTGGCCTGGTCAATAACTGGTCAACGTGTTTGCCTCACAGTGCAGAGGTGCAGGGTTCGATTCCGGCTCCGGCTTTCCTGTGTGGAGTTTGCATATTCTCCCCGGGCTGGCGTGGGTTTTCTCCGGGTACTCCGGTTTCCTCCCACATTCCAAAAACATGCATGGCAGGCTGATTGAACACTCTAAATTGTCCCTAAGTGTGAGTGTGAGTGTGGATGGTTTGTCTCTGTGTGCCCTGCGATTGGCTGGCAACCAGTTCAGGGGTGTCCCCCCGCCTCCTGCTCGAAGACAGCTGGGATAGGCTCCAGCAACCCCCGCGACCCTCGTGAGGATAAGCGGATCAGAAAACGGATAGATGGATGGATGGATGGATTTTGAGAAAATGTGCAAGTGAAATTTATACAGTGTACAATTTTGTCCTGATCTGAATAAAGGACTACACGTCAGTTGGTATAGTGGTTTTATCGTGCAAAAATCGCAGGGGCACACACAAGCACTCCATCATACCGGGAGGGGGATAAGATTCTGTCCCTCTTACATATTGAAATAAGCTCACCTATCTATCCATCCATCACTTGTATTAGACCTCATGAGAGTCTCATCAAACTGTCAAGTTTGATGACACCATGACTGGATTGATAATCACTCAAATTTTGCTCATAGTTAGAACTGGGACGTCGACGTAAAATTAGAATTCTGAATGAGTTTGTATCCCAAAGTATTTATTTTAAGAGGACATGTATTTTCTTTTCAGCATTTGTGAATTAAAAGTGACATCCAAACAACAAATTATCCAGTTATCCTATTAAAAACATGTTTCCAACCAAGCACCAACCAGGAAGTCGTTAGACAGATAGACAAGCTCTCCCATCCTGTTGTCAAAAAGATTTATCACCTGCCTGAAAGAGAGATGAGCTTGTTTTGGCAGAGAGATGAACAATAAATAAAAGCCTGCGTGCACTCTCAAACCTGTGCACCTAATCAAGTGCCAGTCGCTCAGAGGGAGCGAGCAGACTACCCACGGGGTCAACTTGCAATTAGCATGAAATTAGAGAGCTTCAGAGCTGTTGTTCCCTCTGTGACAACCCTGCCTGTAACCTTTATTTAACGCCAGCGCGCGACAATGCAGGAGGTATTTTACATGTTTGTCAGTTTTGAAAGAATGCTTCTTATAGTGGCTGTGTTTGGAGCAGCGTTTAACTGCACAGCGCCATATTGAGAGCTGTTACAAATATTTTGGTTACCTTTTAGATATCTGAGACAAGATGAGTCCAAAGTATGATATGGGTGCAGTTCTACTCGACCGCACATTACAAGAATATGGCAAAAAAAAAGAGACAGTGAGTACATCATACATAATAGCTATTGTCATTAAAAAAATGAGCGTTATTATCTTTGAAAATGTGATGAGGGCAACATTACAACAGGTGCACAGGATCTAGCAGATGGCCCTTCATTCAGGGAAGAAATTCAGAGACAAAATTATTGCGTAAAACTAAACTCATAAACCTTTAGTACTGCTTTGGGAGCACTTAGTGTCTGCCTGACTTTATCGTATAGTGGTTCTGTCGACACTACTTGTTTCTTGGCTTTGTGAGGGAGCAGAGCCCTCGACACCAACTGGCTAAGAGTGAGTGTGATATTCGGGGAGAAGGTGCAAACTCCGCACAGGGAGGCTGGGGCCCGGAATCGAACCCATGACCTCTGCACTGTGAGGCGGACGAGTTGACCAGTCAACTACTGTGCTGCCGACAAACAAAATCATAATTTAAATAATGTGCATTTTATTTTTCGGTCTGCTGAATGTACTTTCTAATTTTTCAAATTTCGTCAAGTAGATGCACCAAATAAATTCATCTGAATCCTGATACATTAAATTTCCCCAAATCTTTGTTCAGTATACAGGCTTGTGTTGTGATGGTTGAAGGGATACGGTCATTAAATCGACACAGTATGTTCATGTTAGAATAGCCTGCGTCGAGTCTTTGTTAACTGTCCGAGTGAAAATGTCTGACAGTTCATCACACAGCTCTCAGATTAGGTCAATACAGATGTACGTTGTGTAGATCTGCGAGATGGAGTTGAACAACGACAAGCAGACGATAATACATCAATAGCCTTCCTTTGAAGGGCGAACGGAACTCAGCATGGCGATGAGCAATAACTACTCACTCGAGCCATGCACAACAAACCAAACACCTGCTTCCTGTCTGGCTGCACATGCTCAGTAAGGCCCCGGGGGAGTTCAGTGTGTCTGCTCTGCTGCAGTGTGGACAACCCTCATTAGAACCCATCTGGCACCTTGGTATAACTTGAGTCCAGCATGCATTGAAATTGTAACAACACAATCTAAAATCTCGCCAATTGGTACTGCGGTTGCTGTAGATTACACAGAGCCTCCAGGAGCACATCCAAAATGTGCCCGAGAAAACATGAGTCATTATTGTTAGCGCCAAAAAGTGCAAACACTGCTGATTACAACCGACAACACCTTTGAGATGTCTCTTCTATTCAGAGCCAAAATGCAGTCCAACACACAACAGCTTTGCTCAAACTGAAACTGATTCTTATTCCTTTTTTTTTTAATCTCTGGAGGCAACCTAAATGTTGAATTAAAATAACATCCATCCATCCATTTTCTGATCCGCTTATCCTCACAAGGGTTGCAGGGGGTGCTGGAGCCTATCCCAGCTGTCTTAGGGCAGTAGGCGGGGGACACCCTGAACTGGTTGCCAGCAATCGCAGGGCACACATAAATGAACAACCATTCGCACTCACATTCACACCAAGGGACCATTTAGAGTTTTCCATTAACCTGCCACGCATGCTTTCGGAATGTGGGAGGAAACTAGAGTACCCGGAGAAAACCCATGCAGGCACGGGGAGAACGTGCAAACTCCACACACCATAACATGCTGTGTCATATTTATTCAGCTTTTTATTATTCAGCTGTCTGGGACAAAAGTATTTTCTACTCTATTCGCTGAGATGGGAAAATGACCAACATGAATAAAGGCTGCCCTAATTGAATCATTTGCTGTTGAGTGCTGATGACTAATGCACCAAAGCAGCCACTTTGAGCTATTCAAACCATTTCATGAATGACATTTTTCTGTAAACATCTAACCAGCAGTGTCATCAGTGTAATTCTTGTCATACCAAACACAGTACTTGCCTTATATGTGAAACAAAGACGAACACCGTTCATATTTCACATGTGAGCTAGGATCGCTCATTGATGGCAATTAATTTGCCTGACTTCCATGCAAGCTGTGTGGGTTCATGTCCTCACTCAGTGACAGTGTGACTGAATGGTTGTTCCTCGCATATTAGCGCTGCGATTAACTGGCCATCAGTCCAGATTGTCATCTTTCACCAAAAGTCAGCTGCGATAAGCTCTCGTCTTGTGACCCTGAACAGGATAAGTGGCAAGTAAAAGTGGAAGGATGGACCTAAGATTGTACATGACGAATTTCACACTAAATCTTAACCGTAGTAATGAGGTTGATTTTTGTGTGGAGAACACGTAAACTAAATCACCACACAGTTAAGAAAAGAAAAGCAAAAGGCCAATATTGGGTTAAGAACATAACTGCCACTCTTTACGTGCAGACCCACATACTGTAAGTCTGGTCAACGTCTTGCGCGGTATTGTACTTATCTGCACTCGGTGGAATCAAAACGACCAAAAATGGGTACATGTTACTCTCCGTCATAACTGCACAAGAGTTATTGCATCTCACTGCTTTGCGAACACTCAATTCAATGCAAATTCACATCAAAAATCGGACACAAGAAGCAGTAAATTCAAATTTTACATTTAAGTTGCTAGACAGACCGAAAGACATTAAGCACTGTGCATGTGGTCAATTCAGACTGAATTGTTGAATTTCAAATACATAGATAGATCGATAAATACAATCAAAACACCTTGGATTAGCAATGGCACAATAGTGAAAAAACGGTAATTGCGAAGAAGTCAGTCGATCGTGTGGAATTGACGCAAAATGGAGTGCACTACTTAGCTGCAACTGGCACAGGAGCTCTTTGGCTCCGACTAAATTCGTTTACACCAAGCTGTACTATGACACAGCTCCTCCAGGCAGCATTATCCGGCTCAGTACAACACGGACATGAAAAACGGCATATTTTATTGACTGACTGATCATTACCTTCCCCCCGAGTCGGCCCCTACTACGGCCTTTGGCATTCCTCCTCCACTTCTCCCATCTTTCTGATCTTTCTGTGCAAGTGGAACTGTTCACCTACTCGTGGTGCTGAACGATAACAAGCACTCAACACACACAGAAAATGAAAACACAGCCAGCCAGCCAACCACTAACCACGTACTGTAGATCCTTGCTGAATGCCTAACAGCTGTTCCGGTTTTCATCTGACAACTTCGAGGCTTTTTTTTTTTTTTTTTTTTTTAACTTCAATCTCACAGGTTTACCTCTTGAAATATTCATGTTTGGATGGTGCCTGAAAATGACCAGCATTCAATTGAAAGTCTTCGCTGCATGCATTCTTGGATGAAATATTAAAGCAATCCATTGAAGACAACAAACAGGGTTTTTGAACAAAAAATATGAAACGGGTTTGCTCAAACAACAGGATGCTAATCAATGTTTTATTGGTGATAAAGTATCTTGATTGCTAGAATAAGAATAATCACTAGACTAAAACGACCGCATTTATGATTTAATGTATGTTTCCAGGCGGCACAGGGGTCAACTCTTTAGCATGTCGGCCTCACAGTGCAGAGGTGCAGGGTTCGGTTGGGCCTTCCTGTGTGAAGTTTGTATGTTCGCCGCATGCCTGCGTGGGTTTTCTCCGGATACTGCGCTTTGCCCCCACGTTCCAAAAACATGCATGGTAGGTTGAAAGGGCACTCCATATTGTTCCGAGGAGTGATTGTGAGCGCAAATGGTTGTTCGTCTATGTGTGCCCTGCGATTGGCTGACAACCAGTTCAGGGTGTAGCCCCAAGACAGCTGGGATTGGCTCCAGCCCCGTCCACGACCCTTAGAAAATGGATGGATGGATGGATGTTTCCATATAGTTGCTTATCACTACATTACATTTTATTCTAACATTTTAGACGTTCTTCCTCATATTGAAATTCTGCATCAAAACCATTAACACCACAGTGACTTTCACTCAAAGAACACCCCAATGTATGCTCATCCTCTTACAGGTATTAACAGTATCAACATCAATACTGGGGCTACAATAAACACTTGTCAGATCTGTATTTGTTGTTGGGTTACAAAAGTGCGGCCCCCACCAGCATTTAAGTTTCCCCATCCCTGAAATAGATATTGTTTCCCGAGTGGATAGAGGCAATAAAAACAGCAACAGTCACACTTTGGCACCATTGGTCCATGCTGTCATCCCTCCAGTCTGCAAGTCAGCCACGCCCACCTCAAATCACTTTGCTTCCAGTGACACAGAGGTTTTCCTAATCACCAATCAAGCCTCTCCTGCCCATTTACTCATCACCAGGTTCTTCTCTACTCTCCCATGCTCAGCTCTTTGCTGTGGATTGATCTGAACTTGCGCTTCTTGCCTTGTGTTGCTCCCAGGAATCACTTTGGCTTTTTGTCCACAACCACGAGTTCTGCCTGAGTACTTTTTGCTTGTCCCCATGGCTGTTCTGTATGGTGTTTTGCTACAACATTACAGGGAGTTTGCCCATCCTGCTTTCTGAGGGTTGGGGAGCATTATTTGTGCTAGGCTCCCAACTCCGCCCAAATTTACAGAGACTCTTTATCTGGACTTTAAATTGAACTGCGTTAGTACTCACTCGTTAGTGACTGGATATAAACCATTGCCAGCTGTTACTGTGGCCTGGTGTGCTGCATTTGGATTTCACACACACCCGAGTCAACAACAGCCAAACAAATTGTAAATGATTCTTAGCTTAAACATCAACAAATAAATTGGCTCACTGTGTGTATTATTACATGCACAGCGACCCTATGCATGTCTTGATAAGCATACCGATGTGGGCTGAGGGTTGACATGAAATGCAATGTAATTAGCTTGGATTCAACAGGTCAAGCTACTAAACAAATGATGTCTTTGTGCATCTGCGTGACTGCAAACACTGAGATAAAAGACACAGACTAAATCAGAATAGGCTCCTTATCTACCAAGAGGAACCTGCCAGATAAGGAGTGAATGGAAAGCACACAAAGTGCAATGAGGAGATGGCATATTGTAGTGGGGAGAAAAAAAAAGAAACAGGAGCTGCGTTGTCTGTGTTTTGGGTGTAGCACGTTGCCAGAGACCTCTCCCCCCCTCGCCATATGTCCACTAAAAACACTGTAATGTTGTGCAATCGCAATCAAAAGTCTTTTGAACGGATCGTCTCCGATCTATGCAGGCGACTCCTCGCCTGCTGCGGCGCTCACCAAGTGTCTAGCCATCAGCCACCCTCCTACTGCAACTTGTAAAACGGCTGCGACATCAATGGCGTAATTAATCCCACCGATGCGCGTTTTAGTCAGAGAGCGGACGGATAACGTCCAAATGCGCCCGACTCACCTCAAAACGCTCGCTGGTCGGCTGGCGTGATTGAACAGAGGGAGAAGCAGCCGTAGTGTTTTTGTCTTCTCCAGCCAAGAAACTCCCACCTTCCCAGGGACCGTCTAAAAGTTCAACACCTGCCAGCGCGCAGCTCTAAGGGAGTGTCAACGAACGAACACGTGTACAATTGCGACACATTATGTACAATTTGTTGGCCATTTAAGTAGAAGAACAGATCCTATGCAAAAAGACTGGCAGAAATAGGCCTACAGATACAGAAACTTTGCTTAAGTAGAAGTGCCTTAGCGATTTGTCTCCTTAAGTAAAAGCAAAAAAGTAAAGCCTCTTGTACTTAATTACAAAAATATTTTGTTTTTACTCTCAATTATATGCAATACCCAGTGATAACTTTGATAACTTGGAACAATGAACGAAACACAACGTGTTTAGCCGACGGCTTGCTAGCATTGGTTCAAGTGTGTTCCCGTGGCTTTTCGAACAATGTAACCTACAACAGGTGCAGTTGTAACAAAGCATTTTACATCTACTGTACTGTAACATAAAATAACAATACAACGACAAAAAAAAGTGAAAACAGTAAATTAAAACGCAAATTAATGACACCAGAAAACAATAAAATAGTGTCAGTCTCATATTGGCTTGAAAAAGCCAAAGAATAAAGATGCGTCTTAAAAACGAGTTTTAAAAATGGACAGGGAGAGAAAGGGCTTGCCGAACATTTTAGCGGAAGGTCATTCAGAGAAGGACCAGCAACCGAAAAGGCTCGATTCCCTCTGAGGCTCTGCTTAGTCCTCTGTAGCTCCAAAGTAACAAAACCAGGGCACGTGGTTTTCAAATGACGGGTGTTTAATCGTGTCTTTGGGGTTGTCTTGTTACACCAACACCGACACCGACACCATGAAAACTCATTGCCGCCTGCCACTTCGGAGGTCTTGGGCAACAAAAATACACTTTAGGAATCTTCAACAACGAGCCAACAGTCCTTACAGCTGCTGCTCTTCTGATGTCTTGCGTTCGAGTGTCTGTCTGTGTCTAGGTAAAAACCACCTTACCTCCTCGCAAGTCTCGCGATAGTAGTGATAACGTCAAATGACGAAACTTAATTTATGCACAAAATAGATATCTCACAACGTGAATAATAATGTACATAAAACAAACACAAAATGTCCTCTTTGCCTTGAGGTTGAAACAAAATATTGTTCACTTCCAACAAACTATTCTGATGACACTTACAGTCCTCGGCACCTCCAATAAAGGCTCGATTCCCTCTGAGGCTCTGCTTAGTCCTCGGCACCTCCAATTGTGAATCTATGTGATTTTCACTGTTTCAACTGAACTACTGAAACAAAAGACATTATATAATGTAATTATTGCATGAAATATTAGGCACACCTGCGAAATCCGATTGCAGTGTACATATGAGCAAGATTACGGAGTCCCCTTGTTGGTACTGGGGTTGCACTGTATCATGCTCTGAAATGTTTCGAATATTTTTACCCCCTTGCAGCCATGAGGTATAAACAAAAACAAACACGAACTAGTGCAGCATGCCACGATTTAGAAAATCATTGTTCTTATCGTGAACGTTATTATAGCTCTTCAGAGATGTTGCAGTGCTATCTGCTGGAAAATAGTTAGCATTGCACTTTCACCACAATTACAGTCGTAATTTAAAGAGGTGGGCACACTTTGGTGTTAAAGGGCCGCATTTTTTATCCTTTTTTTTAAAGATTGGTCCAGCTATTCTTAGAGGAGGTTTTAAAAAATAATGTGCGTGTAATATATAGTTTATTTTGATAGTAGAATAGACACCTTATTAATGTCGATTAAAAAAATGTATGAAAGATGGTTGGGAAAACCAAGGCTTCCCGCCAGCAGGAGGCGATGGAGCCAGGGGCAAGCACGCCATAAATAAAAGAATCTGTGAAGCCCCGCTGCACTTTCGGAGGCTCCGCGGTGCTGAAAAGGACAGCTCCTCCACGGCTGCAGGTACACGACCAATCTTGTCTCATCATCACCACCACCATCATGCTCGTACTTCTTTTTGTCCTCCACGCCAAAATCGCACTAAAGACGTCACCACGGTGCTTTAATAATTCATATATCGGTCAAGTGAACCGCGGATGGTTTCGGTTAACACTGACTGTGTGGAATGAGTGGCGTTGGGAGGGCACGCCGAGGGTCATCCCCGTGTTTGCACGTCGAGTCTCCGAAACACAAGCATAGCTGTCATCTTCCGTGCAAACGCTTAGCTATTCAGTTGTAGGTTAGCAGAGCACCGTGCAGAGGGCGAGGTATTTTTGGTTCACTCGTGGCCCCAAAGGGTCCAGGGAACCCAGTTTGGTCAAATGAGTTTTCTCCTGCAAAACAACTTGACTCGCCCTCCCTCGCTTTCTTATTCCTTTGTTTATGTTGTGAAAGCGCGATATAAATTATTCTCTATGAATCCTATTTTAATTTATAAATTGATACATCATTTTAATTATTTCGTTGGGAAAGTGTGCTTTTAATCAAGTCACCGGGTCTATCATCGAGTACGAAAAACATTAGCCTGTCCTCATTTGTTCTTCCACCCCCGTGTCGGTGTCCCCCACCCTCTCGTTCAAGTTTGTTCCCCTGCAAGCCAAAACTAAAAATAAAAATTTAAGAACACTACTACCACTATCACAGTTTAAAAAAAAAAACACACATCAATGCTATACAAAAACTATACAGTTAACAGTATAACAGTATGCCACTGTGCCATGTAATGTCCATGAACTGGAACCATTCACAATTGTTTAAGAACATGACAGAAGCAAAAAAAATGAATAAAATACATGGTACTCACCAAAGATGCTAATTATATCATGATAGTCAAAGTTGACTATAATGTTGACTGTGACGTGAAGTTTTGCTTTAACCAAGCATTCAGCGGATGGGAAACTGATGATGTCCTTAAGCCCTTTTGAGCCCGTTTGAAATCTGATTGTTTAAAGGAACAGTCTGATTGCTAACATAGTTTAGAGTACATTGGCCAGCGTTACAAGTCTGGGTTTGACAGGGCAATACATTTAGAATGAAATCATATTGGACAAAAGCCCCCCCCCCGCAAAAAAAAACATCCACCTACACTACTGGAAATCTTTGCTGGCACTGACAGTCCTGGACTGGATGCGTTTTGATGTCGCCTGAACAGACACATATTTTCCCACTTGGAAATAATCATTCTCAGTTTGCACCTCTCTTCTGTGCCACCACTGGTGGTGATAGCATGATCAGCACGATGACTTGTGTGTCTCCGACACAGGCATGTTCACCCGGATGCTCAAACTGAGGCTCCTCAATGCCGTGGCCCCTGCTTACTTTTTCATGGCGACTGTGGTCACCTTCGTCCTGCACTTTGGCTTCTTCATGCCAACGATCTTCCCCAGCTCCGACACGTCACCAGGATGTTCCACAACCGTTCCCACTGTCGTTTTCCTTTTCCTGATGTTCAACGCCCTTGGGAATTATGCAATGACGATCCTGTATCCCGCAGCGAGTGCCAACGAGACGGCGGTCCCGGTGTGTTCCCCGCACTGCTCGGACAAAGTGGACGCGCACTACCTCCTGAATGGCCGCCACTTCTGCAAACTGTGCAAGAAAGTGATACTCAAACGGGATCACCACTGCTTTTTCACCGGGAATTGTATCGGCAACAAAAACATGCGCTACTTCATCATGTTTTGCATCTACACCTCGTGCACGTGTTTGTACTCGTTGGTTCTTGGTGTGGCCTTCCTCACGGTGGAATACTCCATCTCTTTTGAAAACCCACTGACTTTCTTGACCCTTCTGCCCCTCTCCACTGGTTACTTCTTCACAGGTGAGTTTTCCATTTTTTTTCTCCCAATCAACAAATCCACTCCATTATGACGTATGATTTAGGATGGAATTCCTGCCCTTCAATCCAGGAACAATCTCCGGCTTGCAGCTGTTCTTGGTGCTGATGCTGTATGTGTGGCTGGGCATCGGGCTGGTGTGTGCGGGCTTCTGTTGCCAGCAGGTGCTGCTGGTGGCCCGGGGCCAGACCTGGTGTCAGATGCAGAGGCGGCAACTGGCAGAGAACCGCAGCCCCTGGAGAAGCAATCTCACGGATGTGTTTGGCTCCAACTGGGCGCTGGGCCTTATTCTGCCTGTGCACACAGCCCAGATGTGCTCTGAGGAGCCACTCAAGCAAGACTGAGCATTCATTTATCAGCAGCTTTCAATAATTCACACAGTAACACTTTCGAAGAAATGCTCTGCCAGGCGAATTGTAGACATTCAAAAGACAGTGGAACCTCTTCATAGACTTTTGCGAAACATCTGCCTCTAAAATTGCACAAAAGCAGAGATTGAAAGGTTTTATGCTGTCACAATTTGACCCTGGAGCAGAATCTTTGCTATTTCCCATGAGGAACAAAATATTTTTCTTGCCAAACAATTTGACTAATGTCCTGGGATGGATTATGCTTTTCAAATTTCCACACAAAAAATAAAAAGTCATTGAATTATAAACGTAATTTTGAATTAAAACGACTCACCATTTGAAGAAAAGGGGAAGAGAACATGTTTGTAGAGCAGTAGGTCACCCATAGGTGACCCCACATATTGCATTTGCGATTGGGCATTGGCAAAGTCTGGACGTACCCTCCTTTCTTTGCTGAAAAACTCCCCCATTTGCTGTTTCCATGCCCCGACCAAAGCCATAATAAGTATACAAATGCTTTTTGTTTAAGTGAGTGAAGAGCTTCATATAGACAAAAGTAAGGCTTTTGCTGCCATCTTGTGGTATATATAGGAAATTCTAACCTTTTCCGGGGGTGGACATAACTCATTGATTATGCTAATTGCGACAGGGCTCCGTGAATAGCATAAACGTACACTTAAACATGGCTAGTTGGGATGAATAGGATGTTAGTACACAAAATTAAAATGTACCATTTAAACAAGTTTTCGCTAGACTAGTTTCTCTCTCTTTCATGCTACTAATTAGCCATAGTGCTTACAGGCACATGCTATTTGAACAGCTGCTTGGTAAAATGATTTTGGATTCTTAATTACTGTTCAATTTATTGTTTTGCTCGTGCTGTACCGAGGAGCCAAACATTTGTCATTGTCAATATGAACCCTTTCAGGGACAGCGGTTACTACAGTGGACATCTTATGTTATCGTCGCAACTTTTAAGAAGCAAAACAGATTTGCTGATGTCTCGTGTGAGGCTTTCAAAAGTTGTGTTTGACTTTTGAGGCACATTTTGGTTGACCTCCAAATTGAACAGCTTTTGGCCCACTTTCAAACTCCCAGAGGTTCCACTGCATTTGCTTTGCCATGACTTAAGTAGCTCTTGCCAATACATTCCTGTTAGGAGAGGAGCCATATACATCGAGCATATAGGAGTGTACATTTCTCTTTTACGAAGTGTTTTAGAATGCAATATTTAAACTCTTAAGGTTAATCGTCAATATGTCTTGCTTTCCATTTCTGTATTATGCTCTCAAATCGAATGCGACTTGATTGCTCCGACACACACTGCAGAGAGCATTCAGGAAATGTATTGTTTTTCCAGTTATTAGGTTTGGCGTTAAGGGCTAGCATGTCAAGAATCACCACGACATTTCTTGTCTACTCTCGAGAACGCGACAGCTTGATTGTTGATGGGCTCGCTGCACGGTGTAATTATCCAGGGTATTAATCACAACGTGCCATAACATGACTTACGTGTTTCGTACACAACGGCCCCACAGATGACGTAATTGCAGGACACTGCTGACACTAATGATGGGGTGAAGGACTTTTACACAGATGTACTACAGCTACTGTTTGGCGTATTCGGCATTATACACAGGTAACAGATGTTTTAGATTTTGTTCACTCCTTTATTCGGCATTATACATAGGTAACAGATGTTTTAGATTTTGTTTACTACTTTAATTCGTATTAAGCTCTTTTGCCTGTGGTTGGTAAAACACATAAACCCCAAGTGCTTCGATGTATTCAATTTAACACCACTCAGGTGAGACACTATACAAGGTAACCTCTTCAATTTAAATAAGTCACAGGTGATAGGATGTTTTTAAGCGCAAAATAATTGACAAATATTTTTTTTTCAAAGGAAGTTTTATGACCATTCGTCAAGGTGACTTTTGCACAAGAGGCACGCTTCACAAAAAGAAAGGTACAATTTGATTCTGTTCAAAACATTTCCGTCGTAATACTGCTGACTCTGGGTGTTGCCAAAATAAAAGGACTGTACAGTATTACAGCTTATCATTAAAACTCACCCATGCACTTTATGGCTTCCTGTTGTCACTGATTGTTGACTCTTTGGGGAGGCATGACATGGTGGACACCAATCCAAGCATTTGGAGCTCTAACACAAGCACGCACATATTCAAAAGGCACAGTAAATCGTTCATTTTTACACATTTTAAAATAATAAATAAATCAAGCAGGTAGCGGGATTCTGGTAACTAAAGTGCAAAGTATGATATGTTATTACTTTCAGCTAGAATAACGGTCATGGTCTCCTTACATTATAAAAAAAAAAGAAGAAAAAAACAGCAACAGGAACAAAGATGGCAGTAACAGAAACACAGTATATACAATTCTAGGGTTGCAGAACTTCACTTAACACACTTGAACCTTGTTTTTTTTTAACTGATTTAAAGCACATTTTTATGGTAACTGTCCAATGTCAACACATTGGACAGTTACCATAAAAATAGTAACAATAAATGTTTTCTTTTTGATAAGAACAATAAATAGTGGGGAAAAAAAAATTTTTTTTAAATAATCTGTCGTCACATGAAAAAGGACAGATGGGTACAGTTTGTCACACTATTAATAGTAACAATAAATGTTTTCTTTTTGATAAGAACAACAAATAGTGGAAAAAAAAAAGAAATATTTTTTTAAATAATCTGCCGTCACATGAAAAAGGACAGATGGGTACAGTTTGTGACACTATTAAACCTTTAAAACACACACACACACGAAAATGACTCACATGAATTGAAAATGATGGCATGCTAACATTTGCTACATGGGGCAAAACATGACACGAACACAAGAGGTTACAGGGATCTGTGTGAGAATCGATGCAAATTGATATTTGACGACCATTTGCCTTAAAGGTACGATGTCAAGCTACTGCACAACCGATGCCTTTCTAAGTTATCATAGGATCATTGAAAATATATTTTTCCAACCTTATTTCAATGATTATTGAAGAACAAAATGTTCTCAAGAGTATTGGAGTGCCAAAGGACTCATGCGAGTTGAATTACTGGTGATCAAACAAGGAATTTAACCTATGGTTGATCAAAAATCCAGTAGCCAATCTAAGCAAGGCATGATGTGACAAGGTGGCTCCCCATCAAATTTGAAAAAGTGTATGCATTACCTATTGGTTATAAAATATAACAACAATGGGAACTAAGAACGCTTTTATCTGAAATTGTTACCCGTTGACTTTTCGTACTTTATGAAAATTAACACCACAAAATTACAGCATACTTCTACTGGGAAAAAAAATCAATTTCAAACTAACCGAATGTCGGTCAATCTCATGGACCAAATCCTATTTGTAAGGTCAAATGAATATTATGCTCTTGACTGCAGTTTTTGTGAGCAACATGGATGGCTAAAAAGTCTGATCACTTTACAAACATGGCAAGTGTACTAAAGACATATTTTCATTAAAAATAAGAGATAATCTTGTCAGAGAAACAGCTTCTCTTCGACTTTAGAGTGTGTTACTTTCGGTAAATTTATTTAAAAAAATTTTTTTTAATTTTAAAATCCTTCAGTGTCTGTGTATTGCGGCATGCTTTTATATGAGTCAGATGGCCTAGCCGCAGATTATGTTTGAGTTTTGCAGAAATAGGAAAGTGATTGAAGACGAGGGTTTGCTCATGCTTTGGTAACTTCCAATGGGTATTCCCGGATGTGCTTTCGTTTTAAATTTTGGAGTTTTGAGCAGCCGTTCTGAATGTATGAGGTGGATCAGAAAAGTCGCACGACTGGAGTCACAAAAGATATAGTTCAAATCCAACTACAAACTACAAGCAGTCCTCTTTAAAGTAATTCCCTGCGATCTGAAGTACTTTCCAAGCGTTCATGCACTCCTGGAAGGATTCTCCAAGATCTTTGGCAGTGCCGCCATCTTGATATTGGCCACATCTTTAAAACGGGCCGTCTCGAAGGTACCCTTGAACTTCGGAAAAAGGAAAAAAAAATACACACAGCCATGTCGGGTGAGGAAGGAGGTTGCTGGAGCACAGTGATGTTCTTCTTCTTGGCCAGGGAGTGTTGGATGCTCAAAGCGTTGTGAGCAGGGGATGTGGTCATGGTGAAGTAGCTGTAAATGTTAACCGCCACAACTCTCGCCTCTTCTCTTGCACCGAACCAAGCAAAGGCTGCAAGATCTCTTTGCAGACGTGCTGTTTGATGGGTGGTCCTGTGGTAACAACTCACAGTGGACACGATGTTTGGGTTTGAAATCTATCTTTGGTGACACCAGTCCTGAAACTTTCCTGAGGCACCCACCCAGCATGCACTCTACAACCCAACCTTCCCTGACAGGATGTGGCTGTAGTAATGAGATCGGCTAGTATTTGATGTGGAGGCTGGTGAGATGCTGGTTCCTCACATTTTGCTAGTGCTTGTGAAGTTACCAATATAGTGCAAAGTAGGTCTTTGCTAGTGTGGCTGGCTTCCCCCCCATGTCCCATTACTTGTTAAAGTCCTGCAGACAGAGCTGGAGTTTAGTCCACAGCTGAGGGTCTCCGCTTCCCAGGGCTTCCAGCAGGAGCGCCGTATGCTCCTGGAGAAGCTGCAGCTGACTTTGGGTGCGCTTGTTGTCCTTGATCAGCTGTTTGGTGCGCATGGTGATGCCCAACAAGCCGCAGTTGCTGAGGATGTTATAAGTATTGCTGAAACGCTTCAACTTATTGCACTCTGCCAAGAGGCCGTCCGGGTAAATGTCAGGACACGGCTGGTTGTCGTCAAGCTCAGTCCTAGATTGATATGTGCAGGGGGGTACAGAGGTGGTCCCTGTCACTGAGGAAAGACACATCCTATTAAGCAGCTCAGAGTGCTCGGCTGGCACATGAGAGAGCTTTTTTGATACTTCCAACTTGGGCAAAGCTGCTTTGCTTGGAGCCTGTGGTTCCCATCCAGGTGTGGGGGTGCCGTGTTGCCGGTTGCCTTGTTGATGTCTCCTGTGTCGCTGGTCATGAACTGAAGACACATTTCCCCTCGATCTGGAGGATCCTGATCTCTTTGAGGGTCTTGGGGCGATTCTAGGATAGGACTTGTGAGTGGACGTGTAGCTTTTTGACTGGGGGATATTTTCAGGGGTTGTTTTTGGCGACATCATTGGTTGAAGCAGAACCATCTGAGATTGAGGCATGACATCAAGAGATGAAGAGGAGCACCACTGTTTGTCAGATGGAGTCACTTGCGAAGGCTAAAGACAATGAGAAACAGTGATTACTGGATCTACTACGTAAGTGGAAGAAAAGATCATACAGGGTCCGGATTTATAATGAAATAATATTCTATCACTAACCGGTGCCAAGTAGCGTGTTTTAGTCCTGATTTTGCCCCTTCTCGACCAAGGACTTCCAGCCTCAGACATCCTTAGGGTTTATAAAATGATTCTATAAGACTGTCCTTTGTTCTGAGGTGTGTTAAGAGTGAATTTGGCCCGATAATAGAGCTTGTTTGTGTATTCAACATATAAACAGAAAACGGAAAGTAAAAGGGAAGTAACAAGATTTTAAAAAAGGAAAAAAAAAACCCAAACGGTAATCATTTAGCACAGTTTACATGTTCAAAGGGAAGTAGGAAGCATTTTAAACAACTTATTTAGTCCTACCCCTTCATATTAAGAGTTCGAATTAGATCGGTGCTAAAAACGTAAATATGAAACGTCTTCAATATTTACAACCAAAAATCATTTCAAATGCAAATATTTAATTACTCGTGAATCATTTCTCCGTGAATTGTAAGGTGGAATGTAATGTAGCCAGCAAAGAAACGACCTGCCTGAGGAACAGGGAAGTGACTGTAAATAAAAATCAACATGCCCTACAGAGTGTTAAAAAGGAGTATTATCATAAATTACATGACATGACTCCTTCTTGTGACCGACTCCAAATTGCTAAATAGACGATATGTTGCGATTCTTTTTGTATCTGGCATTTTGAAAAAATTACACCGCTCCACCTGACATTTTGTCTGCACTACACTGGTACCGCTTTGCATACTGGTTTGCATTTGCCTTTTAGATGCGGTATGTAAACACACAGTCAACTATCACAATTTTTTTCTGAGTTTTTATAAATCATAGAGCTGTGTTTAACTCAACTAATTTAATACGCTATCTAAAAAACTCATGTGCTGTCACCTCCCACCACCCAAAAAAAGGATTTCAATATTTGATTTAATTTGAACCACTGCTTCATTAAGCATATAAAAGGTGTCGGGTGCAAACAAACAAACAAACAAACAAATAAATAGGACTACTTAGATCTTGTATCTGAACTCAGTATCGGCAGATCCTCAAAATCAGGTGACTCAGGTGCCCCCCCCCCCACCACCCAAATGTGACCGGGACATCCCTAGTACAGATGATAACACGCACACTTACTAAAGAAGCAACCAAGAGGAAGTCCACTCTTGCCCGAACAATCGATTCACTGTTTGAGGATTTGAGCATGACCTGCGTGACTGAGAAGCTATACTGGCGTAAGAAAATCAACCCTCATGTAAAGAACTATTAGGTCACCGAGAGGCAGGACTGAAAGATACAAAATAGCGAGAAACAACAAGTAACCTCAGGTACAGAAAGACATTGAATCCAACACCATACGGAGGCAGACAGCCTGACTCACATCCTCACAGTCACTGAGTGGGAACTCAAAACAAGGCTGCCTGCATGCAAGTCAGGTGAAGGAAACCCTTCAGTGACCACTGTCATGAATATATCGAGAAAATGGTGACCACGCTCTGTCTGAAAACCGGGATGTGTGTGTTCTACCCAATAAGTCTCAGCAATGGCGGATCAACAACCATAACTGTGTATTGGTGGCATCAAATAAGTACATGAGTATCTATCTTCCTCCGGTCTATGTCTACACCAAGTTCAATGCCAGTTCGGTTTCAATCTGCTCAGGCTGTCATAGGTAGACAGATACTTGTGTTCATGCTGCATTTACCTGATTAGGGACAAAGTTATTCATAATGAGCATCGGGGAAAGTCCGGCATACGAAGCTCCCATCAAGGCTAGATGCACACCAGCCGGGTCCTGGCCGACTGCACGCCTTTTCCCGCCTGCATCCTCAGAGTCAGTCACATCAACAGCACTCTGGTACTCCGAGCTGGCATCTGGAAGGTATGATACAAGTCAGCTTATCACATTTGACCAGTCGAGAGCATTATAGAAACAGTTGGCAGATGTAGATAAGCATCTTGAGAGTCCCTGTAATAGAAACCAAACCATCAACCTAATGGGGTTTCAACCAGTCCAGATGATTTGCTTTTGTGTTACTTAAGACCTAGCTGACCTAAGACAAGACACACAATGTGACAGAGATCTCTGTCTCTGATTGTGACTGACCTTATTCTATGTGTACCCTGCGATTGGCTGGCAAGTGGTTCAGGGCGGACGCCGCCAACTGCCCGATGACAGCTAGGATAGGCTCAAGCACGCCCGCGACCCTCGTGAGGATGAGTGGATTAGAAAATGGATGGATGAATGATTTATTTTTGCTCCATTTACAGCACTTTCTAGAAAGCGGTGGTTGCATTTCTTTTCTTAATTCTCTTCATTTCCATTTCAGCACACAGATCTACAGTGTCCATTCAACATGATGTCCGGTTTCTTCTTTGTGTCTTCTGTATTTTTCTTCATTTCTTCTACTTTTGAAGTCATATTTGAATGTGCTACCCCCTTTCAATATTCAGACTGAGACACCACAGCCAGATAAAACAGTGCCTTTCGAAAAACATGACAAATTTGTCTTTCTAAAACTCTAGTTAATTGGTAGGTATTCCTAAATGTTATTTGAAGCACTGTTGGATTCAGTTTAATTCCTATATCATGGTTTTTATAGTATCTCAATTATAGCTGTAAAATGTATTACTTTGAAATGATTGGGTAAATAACTTTTTTTTTCCACTGAATGTGCTCCATAATTAATTAAACATAAAAAATTAAAACAATGGAATTATTCTCAATAAAATCAAAATGTAGTACAACGGGTAAAGTAATGTTCAGAAAAAGAATATCTTATTCTCTGCTCTTCTCCGCTTTGTGAATTAACATCTGCCTGGAAATGTGCTGATGTTAGCCATGCTCAGTGTTTATTTCACCAATTGTGGATACACTAACTAGCTGGTAATGTTCATTCCAAGACATTGTTATACGAATATGAAGAGTTTAAATACAAAAGCAGACAACTGATTTTTTTGTGAATTACCACTTTTTTTCAGCTTCAACTTATTTTACTGAAAATTTAGCTTTTATTTTATGAACAGAGAGATGGCAACAATTTTGTCCATGAGTGTATATTGTCAAAGACTATATCAAAAGAGTGAAACAAAAGGTAATGGTTGTTTGATACAACATAGGCGTAATCTGAACAAGAATACAACAAAATACTAACCTGAGAAGCCCGAATCCCGTTCCAAATCCTGCTTGGATGCATCATGGTGTCTTACTCTGGTGATGGATGATGTCCTGTGCTGGACGGCTTGATTAAAACTGCTCATGTTTGGTTCAACCTGGAAAGAATATGCAAATAGATGATTTAAATGGGATGTCACTTATAGAGCACTTTACACCCTTTTCTCATTTACCTACTGATGACACAATATTATGAGCAATTGGGGGTTCAGTCTCTTGCTCAAGGACACTTCGAAAGGGCGCAATGGCTGGGGATCGAACCCCCAACCTCTCGGCCACTGGGCCATAAATGTTGTGAGTTGTGACTTTTGGCTTGTCTCATCAGGGGGTGAGAGGAGTCATTCGCATGATGTTTTTAAGGAGTAGTAATTGATAAGCGAAACGAAACAAGTTAGTTGAGTGATCGGTTTAATTATGAACACGATTTCATTTTCAGGGTCATTGATTACAGACAGTAAATAATGATCCGTGACAACGGTTTATTCGAGCACTCCAATGATTATGAATCTGACCTCTGTACGGCAGTGAATAACGAGCAGAGAATGCAAATTAAACATATCTCGGAACAGAGTTGATAAGTAAACAACAGAATATAGTTGCAAACATTCACGGGTGCTACATGAGAAAAGATCGACATTTACACATTGGGGGCGTGCCAGCGTTGCTGCGACGTTTGCTAAGTTAGCTAGCAAACGCAAACGTTCAGAGCCACCGCCGTCGTTTGCGTTTAAAAAAAAAGTCTATTGAAATAATTAAAACTATCCGCTTTATTGTTGGTCACGTAAGCTTTTTTTGAAAACTGTTTACAACGTACGGAAAATAATATTAGCATATCGTTGGCGTGGCAACCAGCGCGCCGGGACAAAAATGTCTATGTGACTATGGATGTGACTTAAACTGTAAGGCTTACCAGTAAGATTCAGGATAGATTGTCGTCAAATAGACACATGCAAAGTTGCTGACGTGTTTTAATTCGGGTCTTTTTATCCAGCCCTTTCCTGTTGCTTTCTCGTTATGCCAGAAATGACGTCTCACGCAGTTTCTTTACTTCTTCTTTGGTCTACATAGCGGCAAACATTAATATAAATCGCCCTGCTGCCCCCTGTTGGGACATAACTGTTACTTGTTTTACTGAAATAACTAAACAAAAAAAAAATAAATGATAACTTACAGGTTCCAGGAAACATGCACGTTAAAAACGGACGCGAAAAGCAAATAAAAATGCTTGGAGTAACTGCAAGTGCATGTACGCTTTATCGTGGACCAGGTTAAACAGTGGCCTTTAATCGAACACAGAGTAATCTAGTGAGTCGCACTTCAAGAGTTGATGCCCATCAACCCAAAACATAAACACTGCTCGATCACTACGATTTTCTGTTATAAAAACGCTGCAAAGTAAGACCACAATGATTTAAAAAAACCATCAATCATGAATAATCAATATTTAATCTTAACTGGTGAATCCTGCATTAAATCACGATAAATTAGATTGAATTACTCAACAGAGTGTCTTGTGAAGGTACAAGCAAATGTTATACAGTACAGTGAAACTCCTCTACAACGAAATCATGTTTGCAGCAAATTTTTCACAACAGGGGGTTTTTCACTGTAGCAAATTTGATCTCAGATGTAAGCACACACACACCCACCCACACACACCCACACACACACAAACGTATGTGTACTCTATTTTTATTCCAATAGTGCATAAGTATGAGCACACACTTATTTGACACTTCATATTGTCAGTGTAGAAAGAAAAAAAGGGAAAGAAATTGTGAAATTTATTATCAGCATTCACTTTCACTTACATCAATTTCTTGGATAATGTCTTTTATTTTGCTTGCTGCGTCTTTCATTTTCATCACTTTTACCCTCTCTTCCTCTGCCAAATACTTACGTCGCATCAGAGCTCTTCTTGTCTTAGCTGTTTGACATCTAAAGGTCCCTTTTGTAGCCATTTTAGCAATGCACCGTGGGTGTTTTTAGCATGATAACAAGTAAAGCATTCGAGGAAACGTTCGTTTATTTGAATGTCCGTACGCTAACTGGAGCGCTAATGAGAGAGAAGCGCTCCAGTTAGCTAGCCTTCGAGAGCTAACTATGGCCATCGAGGACTACGAAGCGTCCTGTGGGTGTTTTTAGCATGATAACAAGTAAAGCATTCGAGGAAACGTTCGTCCGTCGAGCCATAAGCAATATACTCTGAGCAGCTAATCGGATGCTACGGATCTAGCTTCAGTATCTACACACATAGACAGTGAGGTCCCTCTTGGCCAATCGGAGGCCAAGACGATGCTCGGTAAGCCAAAGGCAGAAGCAGCTATGAGTATGGCGAGTCCAGGAAACTCGCAGCTGTGACCGAAATAAACATCGTTCACTATGTAAACCAGTGTGGTGGTTGCTGTTGCCTTTTTTCGAACGAAGCAGTAGAGGTCGCTGTTGGATAAGACTTCGTTGTAGTGAATGTCTTCGCGAGGCTGGAGCAGAAAAAATGATTTCGTATAACGCAACAGGGGGGCTTTCGTCGTATGGGGGGCAGGAGAATGGGAATTGTGTTAATGCATGAAGATTTTTTCACATAAGGGGGTATTTTCGCCCATGTAGGTTTCGTTCTAGAGGAGTTTCACTGTACAGCCAAACCACACAGTTGCATGTAATTATGGAGAGTCGTGCTTATGGGAACGCCCCCCCCCAAAAAACAAACAAACAAACAAACAAAAAAAGCAACAACAATTACAATTTCACAAATCACGTTTATTTATGCAAAATGGTGTTGGAACATCGGTTTGTTTCATTGATAAACATTTATCATTTAGGTCAGAATTAAAAATAAAATGTTCAGTGTCCAGTCATGTGACGTAGAGCATGACCGTGAGTCATGAGAGTCCATCTCGCTCATCAGCACTGTTTGTTCTTACAGACACTGGAGGGAGACATTTTACTTGGAACACAGTTTTGAGTCAAGACAAATTTGGACAAACCATATTTTTGGTCCATTTTTATTCTGGCGTTTCTGTCAATAAATATAGATATTAAACACAAGTAACAAACTTTAAATACCAAAGAAATGTAACAATGACCATACCTGATACAGTGATAACAAGTGTAATCAGTCTGTTTGTTCCTACATTGCACTTGGCTCCCAGGTGTGTGTCCTTTTTATCAACAGTGTCACGGCAAGCTTTCCAGCAACGAAAGCACATTTTCTGTCATCACAAACGCTTTGCTCATCACCAGGTGGGCATGTCTTCACAACCCAGCTGTTTGGAGTCTCCTGCTGTACACTCAGTGTTGAAAGAGAGCGAAAAGAGACGCTTGATGCTGTCAATGGGCTGGAAATAATTAGCGAGCCACACTGCAGCAAGACTTTGGCTGGCTGCTGCAGTTACCTTCGAGGGATCTGGCACCTGAACGACAAGACATGACACAGAGTCGTTTCGGTGCTCGGCCATTAGAATTGTTTCTGTTGTTTTGGGCCTTCACCTGTCACAGTCTTTTGTTTTTTGCTTCTCCTTTCGCCTCCGTCCTTTACCTCTTTGCCTTTTCCTACAAGATGCAAAGACAAAATATCGTTTGAAACCTCTCTAAAGTAAAATACATTTTTCTTCAAAAAATGTTTTAACAGTATTTATTATATTACCTTTCAACCTTCCCAACAGGTTTTTTGACTCTGGGGAACAAAAGTCAACATAGTATGAAGGCAAAACATCAAAGAATATATTTTAACACGTTTATTATTAAACACACACACTAGCCACACTTGCATAATGAGATCTAATACAACAACTGAATCCAAAATTCAAGGATTCTTATTATTATTTTTCTAACTTGACCGAGACATTTTCTCAAAGAATATATTTTAACACGTTTATTATTAAACATACACACTAGCCACACTTGCATAATGAGATCTAATATAATAACTGAATCCAAAATTCAAGGATTCTTATTTTTCTAACTTGACCGAGACATTTTATTTTAACAATATTTTCAGAACCATAGTTTGCAGTGGACAACACGGGTGGATTTTTGGTTGTCTTGCTGCGTTCAAATCTCAGCACAGGCAATCCTGTGTGGACTTAACATGTCATCCATTCATCCCACATTTCAAAAACATGCACATTTGGTTCATTGAAGACCGTGTGGAGATGTGAATATGAGTGTGAATGGTTATTTGTCGATATGTGCCCTTTGATTAGCTGGCGACCAGTCCAGGGTGTAGGCAGTCTCTCACCCAAAGTCTGCCGGAAATGGCTCCACCTCACCCCTGACCTTAATGAGAACAAGCTTGATAGGAAGTGGATGGATAATACGCACTGAGATATTTGACAATATGTTTATGATAGCCTGCATTTCACTTGTTTTTATGTTCATATTTTGTATTGGACGTTATTGATCATTTATGCTTTTATTTTCGGTATGGTGACCTTAGGCTACTTGGAAAGTGCCTCCAGATATGTATGATTATTATTATTATAGTAACATTAGTTTTATTATTATTGTTCTGTCTACAGGAAACTGCAATGCATCATCAGAGCTGTTGGTCACCAAATTTCATTCAATAAGAGATAAAATACTGTCTTAAAAACTACTGTCAATATGATGTCATGCAGCTCTACGCCACAGTAAACTATCCATCCATCCATCCATTTACTGATCCGCTTATCCTCTCAAGGGTTGCGGGGCGTGCTGGTGCCTATGCCAGCTGTCTTTGGGCAGTCGGTGGGGGACACCCTGAACTGGGTGTCAGCCAATCACAGGGCACACATAGATGAACAACCATCCGCACTCGCGCTCACACCTCGGGACAATTTTGAGCGTTCAATCAGCCTGTCATGCGTGTTTTTGGAATGTGGGAGGAATCTGAAGTACCCGGAGAAAACCTACACAGGCAACGGGAGAACATGCAAACTCCACACAGGAAGGCCAGAGCCGGAATCAAACCCTGCACCTCTGCACTGTGAGACCGACGAGCGAGCCAGTCGACCACGGCAAACTATAACAACAGTAATTATTGTGCTGTATTTGACACCGCCAATCAAAGCATTTCGGTTGTATTATAAAGGCAGATGTTTAATGCAGCTTTCAAAGGATCACATTAGCGTGTAAGTGTGCCTGATGATGTGGCCAAAGAGTATATATATATTTTTTTGTAATTGAGAGAGGGACAGATACTGTACATATGATCTTGTGTTTTTTTTTTCTTACCTACATTCACATGTCTGATGCTCCACAAAGGTCATTTCAACATATTCCTCTCCAAGCTCTGCTGGCCTTATTTTCAGCAGCTGAAGAAGAAACAAAGGGTGGCAATGAGGAATAAAGATGAAGTCTAACATTCTTTGTCAAGCTGAAGTCTTACCTGCATTGTGATGTTAGTTGTGATGGTGGGGTGGCACTCGAGCTTCTCATCGCCACAGCAGCCCGCACACCTCACCAGAGGCACACAAGCAGGGCTGTAGATGTGCTCCACCTCTGACGGGTACTCCTGCACCACCTCCACCAGCTTCTCGATGGTTCGACATAGGCTCCGAGCCCACACGTCTTGGAACAACAACACGGCGGGTGCTGCTCGCACAATTACAAACAATGAGAAGATTAAAAGATGGAAGTCCGCTTCTGTTAATATGATAACATTTACAGTGGAACTATCATGTGCTATTCTTAAATTACTGTATGTCTACCCTTGCCATCTCAGTCTCACAATGATGTTGCCACAAAGTATATGTGCAAAGTTATTCGGTGGCGCGAGTCCTTTATTTTTTCTGAGGAAATATGGTATGCAATTATGTATCATACAACATTAGAGGATCCCTGGTTGAATGCGTTGTGGCCATCTAGAACCAGTTATCAGGTTATACTGCATTTTAACATCCATCTCAAGGTTGACTGCAATATACTTATCTTTTTAGGTTTACTATAATTACAGTTAATGACATGTCAAGTATCCAGAAATTTACATAATGTACAGTAAGCGGTCCCATGGGGTATAAGTGTGTAAAAGTGTCCCAGTTGCAAAGTCACAGGGAGAGGAACGGGGTCAACTACAGTTAACCAAACAGGGGAGGGAGCGAAAATAAACATGGGAAATATGGCGATGAACAGAGCCCCCGCTGGAGCCGTGCTGCCCCGCAGGCACCTCTGGGACTGCCTTGACCTCCGAGGTTACAGAACCGAGCCTGACACTGCAACAGCTGTTTATAAAAGCAGACGTGGGGGAGGGGAAGGCTGGGGAAGCATCCAGAGATGATGGCGGCATGAACTTTACACTGTAACCCAAATGATCAAGCTAATGCTGTTTTTCTTCATTTTCCTAAATAAAATTGCAACGGACAGTGAATAATTTCCTTCGATGAATCGACAATTAACTTTGGTTTGAAATTTTATTCCATGGACTGTCTGCCTGCATCACATTTAAGGGTCCAAAAATTGCTATTGGCAGTTATATTGCCATTCCCCCTCAAATGGTAGATCTTTGCTTTTAGGATGCCACCATGGGTACTCAACAGGGTTAAGGTCAGGGCATGATGTTGGCCACAGACTTTCTTCAAATGTCACAGATTTTGTCGAGGTTATTATGTCCCTCTCAGGCACCACTACGGGGCTGACCATTTCGCTCCAACCCCAAAGCTACATTTAATTTTCGAAATCAATATAAACCCACTTGAGGGCAACCATGTCCCAGTAATGTTTAACTGGCTTCGGCATCATAAGCATTAACCACGGGGAGCAGGTATCATACAAGGACAACCAAGATGATCTCGCATCGAGGAAGGCCTCTAGGCAACACTTTTAAAATAATTTAAAATGATTTCCTTAACATAAAAGAAAGGAAATAGGGTATCAGAGGTTCGTTTTATTTGTCCAACTCTAATGCCTGGGCCACTGGATGTCTTTTTTTTTTTTTTAATACATAATTGCCAGCATGCACAGTTAGTACATGAAACTAAAGTTCGATTAACAATATATTCTTCCCGTATACCAACTATTAAATTGACTAACTTTTGATAACATGGGAAAATATTTCACTTAGTGTGTATTTAAAGCAACCCAAAATACTCACCGCGCATTGTGCTGTTTAGGCTCGTTGTGGGTAGACTCTGAGGAAGAGAATGAATATTGATATAAAATACATTTCAAAAGACTGTTTAACACTCAGTTCAAGTATATTAATGTGAAATAACTTGGCAAATTTCTGTCCGATGAAAAAAACAACAACAATATTGTACGATCAGGTTCCTCCTTTTTCTTTTTTTTTTTTTTTTTTTTTTTTAACTTGACATTCATGGTCCACCCCATGTATGTTCCCAGCATCAGATGATAAACAAATTTGCTTTTGAAAACACAGATGCACTGGCTGACACCATCTGGGGAAGAGAAATCCCCTCTGGATAAAATCGACTCTCATGCAGGGTTTCTGGACTTGCTCACCTGCTTTCGCTTTTCTTTTTTTTCCGTGCTTTACTGTAAAGGCACACTAACACAATTACTACTGAGCAAGTTATATAACAATGACCAGACAGACCATGAATTTCCGCGATGCTGCTGCTTTTGACATGTCCAAAATGCATCCTCTTCCTGTTATGAAGCAAAATTAGTGCGAGGATAGCATCTGCCAGCACAACACATTTTCCTCAGACAATGCGATTAAAGAGGAATGTCCTGCTGCCATAACACTGTCCTTCACAGGAAAGGACTTGACAGCCCCCCCCAAGTCCCCCCATTAAAGTGAAGACAGTGTCTTGTATTTGTGATGAGGAACAGGCAAATCAGTTTATCGACAACTCATCTGTGACAGACATTATGTTAGAGGTCTACAAGAATTTCCAGGCAACCACTTAGTCTCAGGCCTCCCTGTTGTGAAGGAGCAGCTAAAGTATCTCTGCTTGATCATGCAGCTTAAAATGAACAGTCGTCATTGGGACTGACTGAGAGTTCCACAGTCACAGTTCAGCTTCAGTTAACGTCCTCTGGCACTCTCCGGTGCCAGGCTGAGAACAGAAATCCTTTTCCAGAGTTCATTAGCATATGATCTGCTCGCTCTTATCTGACAGTTTTCATGAGATTTGGGCGAGACTGTTTCACATCACAAGGACTTTTTGGCTCCGCTCCACAGCGGCTGTTCCGAATGAGGTGCGGTGGGGAGAATTTTCCGAGCTTGGTCATGGGTTGGGGCTTGACATGACGAGGAAGCTTCTTTGGCACCTATTGCAGCTGCCCACAAAAAGAAAGTTGCATGAGGAGCGTCACGTCGACATTTCTGTCCTCCTTACAGCATTTACTGTATTTGACTAACTGTGAGTGGGAGAAGTTCATGAGTAAAAAAACAGGTTTGAGCACTTGCTGATTTCCTTGGTTGCTTGCGTCGCTCCACTATGAGCCTTCTTAAGGAGTGTCTTAGGGAGGTTCCAATGCTCATCACGGCTATCTTCCACTATCGGGCCAACATTTTTAACTTTCTGACCTGAAAAATGAATGATCTGTCTTTAAAGGCTTCCACTTGAACTTGAAAAAAAAAAATCATTTTGTATCACCGCTTTCTTCATTATGCAAAACATCTGGGTGATCTTTGCAAAACCAGACAATAGAGCTGAACAATTATTCAAATGGACATTGCTTTGTAGTTTTCAAATCGCAAAGGATACAATTTTAAAAAAATATACCTGCATCATATCAGTCAGTCTCTAAACTCTATTTTTATACTGTTATACCGTATATTTGCTTTCTGTATTTATACCAGGTCTAAATAAGCGCAGCCCACGTGGTAGCATATCATTGTTTCAGGAAACATGAAAAGTTGCTGTGCTGAAGCCACCGATTTGTTGGCATGTTGCAATCTGATTTATGACTTATTGATCGCTTGTGCTTGCACACAGGAAAATACAAGTTGGATCATATGAAATAAATACAGATACTAACATTAGCTTAATCTGTGGCTGTGTAGTCTCTACTTTGCTGCAGCAGCTCGCTAAACAGCCTCACGCTGTTAAATGAATATAGGAGACTCTTGTTCTCCTTGCCGTTGTCGTTGTGAGCATGACACATTCTAACTGATGTCGTCAGTGTGGTTGTTGTGGTTTCAGCAGCGTTTCACAATACGATTCTGACGTGGAAACCTGACCACTAAAAACCACAATGGGTAAAACTGAGTCAGGCTTCATGAAACAGTACTGTGTAACAGAAATTAGTGCGCAAATGATGTTGGAGAAGCCGTTTACATGCGCGACTGCGCGTGTCCTCCTTTTATTTCTTTACTTGGCTTATAAATGGCCAACTCCTTTGTCTGTGAACACCTTTAAATGTTGTACTCTTACTTGAAACACACCAAATTATCTGGCACATAAAATGCACAACATAAATAAATCTGCCTTGCCTCCTATTTTAACAGGCAATCGTTTACATGCAAAGGATAGGACAGTTTCGGGAACCTCCATTTTGACTGCAAAGCCATAGTTTGGTTTCGTCGATTTTAATACAAGAATTTTTTTTTTTTCCAGCATTTGAACAGTTTCGCGTTTCTTCTTAAGGCTACTGTTGTTTTGTCTGGATGATATCAAAACCCGGATGGCATTAAACTTCTTGATGTTCAATGAAAAAGACAGAATTTATGGCATTTTGGTCCCAGTTGCTCTTGTACACTTCACCCGGTTGTCTTGGGCCCACTGGCAAGTTTGGGTTTTAAATCGGACAGCGATTTGAAATTGTTCCATCAAATTGGTGCTATTGTTCAATCCATCTTTTTTTTTTTTTTTTTTAAATCGTAGGCTAAAATAAAGTTCCTCCTTTCACAAAAGCACTTCATTACATCTCGGCAAGAATACAGTACAGTAGTGCACTTTACGTGTCAGCCAGTCCTCCCTCAATTGTCTCCAGTAGGTCCAAAATGCTGCAGCTCTCCTCCTAATTTAAACTCGTAAGAGGGAACACGTAACTCCAATCCAATTCGAGCCTCCTTTCACTGTCAGTCTCAGTCTGTCAAATTCGTTTTAAAATAGATACTGCTCAAAAAAACAAAAAACGCTTTGAGTTTGGTTTTCTTGACTCAGCATAAGACTCTGCATTGTTTTGGTTTATATTGTGTTTAGGGTTTTTATGTTATTCCTAACTGTCTTTGTATGTCAGATTTTTTCTTAATGTACACTGTGGCTGTTTTTCCAAGTGCTCCAAAAATAAAGTAGAAATAAGTTGAGTCATGTCATAGGTTTGGGGCTTTTCAGCTGTTACATAAAGATCAGTTTCTGCTCATTTGGGTAACCCCAAATGAAATTATGTTCATTTTCTGTGATTGAAAAAGGATATTAGATTTGAAAAAATTGGTATGCAAAAATTCTCAACATGTTACCAAAACAGTTTACTATAATTCTAAGTCAGATAATTAAAGGAATCTATCTTTTCAAAAAGCATTTGATGAAATCACTCTAAAAAGGGAGCAATCACTGGGTAATAAATTGAGACTTCAACAATAAATCTGTCATAGACAAATGACATTTTATGTCAAAGTGAAATAATCACAGCTGTGATCTCTCAGAACACTTCTGGACCATCTGACTCCATTTTCCTTCCCACATGTGGTCTCAGACTTTGTGTTTGTCAGCTCCAATGTAGCAGACGCACGAGTTTGCAGAGAAGGTCCATCACAAATAACAAGAGCAGACATACCCATCAAGTTACAGCACGAGAAGCCAAAGAAGGCTTGGAGTTAAGGGCCTACACTATTTCTTGGTCTCAGATGAGAAACTGAGGCAATCTTGCATCACTGGGACTGTGCTCTGTCCATCGCAGTAACGTCAGTGCAACCCTAGACGACTCTTGGCCAAGTACAGCGGCTCATTACTCTCCAGTCCCACATTGTTGAACTAAAACAACTTTCTTCTCTATTTTCTAGATTGTGGCCAGCTGGACAGTCATGAAAGATTCTACAAGCTTGAGAAATCAAAAACGAATTGAACAATAAGTCCGGCTCAATGGAATTCATTATTAGGATAGCGACAAGAAGTCGTCAAATTGGCACCTACTTAGAGTGGGATGACTTCGCCAAGAATGATGATGATGCATCAGGGAACACCTTCATTCATCAAACATTTCTCAAGCTTGTGAAGATATAAAGCAAGTAAAGTGGTACTGTCTTCCGGGTGGCCAACTAAACACATTTCTACTACAAATAAAACAATTGAGCAAATAAAATTAATTTGCAAGTAAATATGAATTAAACAATTTCTGCGAAACAATTTTGACACAAAATGACAAGAATATTTCAATCAAACCAACACGACTAACATTGTGATTCTTTGGACTGAGCTCTTTTAAAACCCCAAAGGCCAGGGAGCGCACTGGGTTACTTTCAGACCGTCTTGAGTCTTTAACTCATCAGACCACACAGGAGGAGAAGCACTAAACCAGAACAAGTGAACACAAACAGAGCAGCAGTTAGATGAGTGAGAAACAGAGCTCTGCGCCCCTCCTCACTCATCCCATCCCTCACCCCGCGCGAAGCAGATGCCACATGATCGACACCATGACCATAACATTAAATCTAAAGGCTCTCGCAGGGGCGGCGGGCGATCGACTGTATATCCACTCGCCGCAAACTGGAAAAGGACAGCGGTTTCTGTTGTGTGTACACAAAGTGGGGGCACCCACAGCGACAGCAGCACCATTACAAGTCTGACAGTGACCAGTGGGATCTCTCGGGTGGTCGTGTCACGCTTTGTGGTTACACTGCAGCGCAGCTAACTTGAGCAGAGCATACGCTCAATGTGCCAAAACAATGCCTCAAGTGATTTAGGGCAAAGGAAGCTTTCATATGCACATTGAGTCAACATTCGACTTCAAACTAGAAATAATGAATCAACGGCAAATAGAGGTGAATCCACAAGTCGTGAATTGTGAATATGTCAGGGAACATTGTACACTCCATTTCATTTACCCAATAAGTTCCATGAGGGTAATGAATACCGCACAAGCAGTATTTTTTGCTAGCTGTTAGCTGTTCACCACCCACCCAAAATGAGAATCAGTATGTTACAGCTCATTTTGACACTACTCTAAAAACACAAATACTGCAAGACAGTTATTTTGTCAACCAATAAAGACATGGTTAAAAAGCTAAACACGTCAGGCCACTGATTACATATGGGAACACTACATATTGTCCATTATAACTTCATATCTTCAAATAAATGTGAGGAATTTGCAACACTGATTCAAGAACAATAATTTTCCTTGAGTTGCTTTAAAGGTCATCAGAGATAGTGGAATAGGGATACACAAAGAGAGGTAAAGTCCATATACTTTAAATAGTTAAAAAACACAGTTTTCTCAAGACAAGTCAATTAATTCATCTACAGATGTTCGACAGAGACCAAAGCACAACACACTGTCCGATTGACACACACACACACACACACACACACACACACACACACACACACACACGACAGGTCTCGAGATAACACTGAGCGGTGGTAATTGTGGTCTCCATTACAGTAAACGCTGCTCTCCCAGTGTAAACCATAGCAAATTGCATCCAGATGGGAGATTACACACACACACACACACACACACACACACACACACACACACACACACACACACACACACACACACACACACACACACACACACACGACAGGTCTCGAGATAACACTGAGCGGTGGTAATTGTGGTCTCCATTACAGTAAACGCTGCTCTCCCAGTGTAAACCATAGCAAATTGCATCCAGATGGGAGATTAAAGACTGCTGAGTAGACGGCTGCCCCAAGCGCCACCGCTCCATCTTCTCTGCCGGAGGAAGTAGAAATCCATATTTCCTGATTGCGACCGTCCCTAGGGCCGGGACATTACAACTGGAGAGAAATACCACAACATTGACACTCCTTTCGACTTGTAGGTCAGGCTGTAAACATCTCGGCCGGACGTATGCAAGAAGAAAACGAGATGGTAGCAGAGATGTAACGTTTATGCAGATGTTTAGAAAGCTGCTGATGCCCAAGGACTGCACTGCAAAGTGTGCAAATGTGATGTCATACACTTGACCAAGTATAAACAAGATGGAGGAAAAACAAAATCTTTGCAAATGCAGTCATGCGTGCAATGTTGACAGTCCAACTCAAGCATTGTTCTGTGGAAAGGAAGCACCTGTGCTTTGGGAGCTTGCGATTTCAATTAGTTTCAAAATCAAATGTGGATTTACACGTATATTAATTATATCAGCTGTGTCTTTTGATTTGTTTTGACAGTCAGTGGGATTTTTTTAGATGAGTAATAATGGTTAAATATTGAACGCAATGTCACGCTCTCTCTTCATGCTATTTAAAATGTGCAAAGAACACAAATTATTCAAATGTCACAATCAAACTACTTAACAATTGATGGTGATGATGTTTTCTTGGCCTTTTGTTGCTAGGCAGAGTTCACAGGGCTCACAGGCCATTGGCAATATCGGACATTGCAGTCATGTCTTGCAATTGAATCTGCCGTTCTTTTTTGAATATCAATCACGTTCTGCGAAGGAAGAACAGCATCTTTTGGATCCGGTGGACATTGCTACCCACATTGAACACAAACATTATGTTTTTCAATAACTGATGGCACATTAGTAGGTATGTGACAACTGACTCATTGCCGCCATTTTTTTATGAGGACATTTTTGTGTGATCATGTTGCACAGGTCTGATTTGTACTCCCTAAAGAAAATTATACACTATGGTAAGAATTTTGTCGCCTAACCCTGAATGGGGATAGACGCAGGGGAGCCGTCCACCGGGATAAACTAGACGGCCAGCAGTGGTGTGGGAATCTCTGGTAGCCAAAGAAACAACAGCCAGACTTAGGCCGCACTGCAGAAATGGCTTTTATGGCACAAGTAGTCGTCCCCCTACGCTTATCTCGACTTCAAATGCTTCTCTTTGCTCTTACTTGTCCCGAAACAGTCACACACTTAGTCACAGGCCATTCCATTGTAACAATGGAAAAAGTTACTGACATTCATTGTCTGCTTTCTGAAGCCTTTAAAATGTCATAACTTTCTTAATTCTTACCATATTGACAACATCCAAACACTGTTAAATTCCTTTATCCAGCTATTGTTCGTGACATTGGTCTTGCTAGAAAAAAAAAAAAAGAAAAAGATTTTCATTTTGTTGTATCGTCCCTACATACAGTTATTGTACAGTAATCTGTCTCTCAACAATTGTATGATGACAATGAGTATTAAAAAAAAGGGGGAAAAAATCAAAGGATCACAGCAACTGTGACTTGTGTGAGTTATGAAAAAAAGAAGACGTTTGAGTGAAAAAATAACAAGCACTCTCTCAGTTTGAGCCTTGCAAGACGTTGAACCGTTTTATATTTGCTGTCAATCATCGTAGTTGGCGGCCCTTTTAATCTGTTACATTCTGAAGGCCCTGGATTTTGTCACTTGTGTTTTGACTGCAAGCATGCCATGAGCTGATTATCAGGATTAGTGGTGAGGTGCTGATTCTACTCCCACTCTCTCCCAGGCCAGTTACAGCCTCACTATTTCTTAAGAGGTGAGTTTGAATCAGTCGTTCAATGTACTATACATTTCTCCATTGAGCCCCTTTGAAGACCACTCACTTTCGGTGCAAGCCAGCTCTGACACATTGTGACTACCTCTCACTCCCACCCCCATGACAAAAAGTGCCTACAGGAAAAGCATGACTTCAACCCAATTGTGATTGTTTTGCATGTCTTTCATGTTTTGAAAGACATGCAA